GCGCCGCGGCGGGCGGGGGGGGGGGGGGGGGCACAGCAGCAGGGGTGTTGCAATCCGGGACAGCCCCAGGAAGTTCACCTGCCCCAGCCCCTTCCTAGAGAGGGGGCACGCAGGCGCCCGGGCTGCCAGCACCCCCTGCTCCAACCCCTGGGCGCCGTTCCCCTCCCAGAGCTGGGGGGAACCCAGGCACCCGGGATGCCCAAACGCCCTTCTCTGGAGCTGATCCCCCTTTTAGTGCCCCCCTTGGGGTGGGCACATGGTGACCATTTTGGGGCATCAACTTGGCATCACAGTAACCAGGACATACAGGTGGCAGGTGCTGCTGGGCTGCAATGGCAACCTGGTTGTCCAAGGGGTGGGCACCTGGCATCCATACTGCGATGCCCGTTTGCTTCACACCATTGTCTGAGGTTTGTGTGCATGGCACCTATTTTCTGCACCGCATTTACCTCCTGCCAACCAGGTTGTCCAGGGGTTGAAGGCACAGTGGCCATTTTGGGACACCATCTTGGCCTCATGACAGCCAGGTCACAGGGTTTGGCCTTGTGGTGGCCATTTTGTGGACACCGTATTGGCCTTCTGCCAGCCAGGCTGTCTGTGGTTTGGGCACATGGTAGCCATTTTGGGGCACCCTTTTGGCCTCACGCCAACCAGGTCGTTGAGGGGGTGGCCGGTGACGGCCATAATGTGGTTACCATATTGCTGTCAAGCCAAGCAGGTCATCTAGGGGGTTGGCACATGACAGCCGTAATGTGGGCACCATGTTTGCCTCATGCCAACCAGGCTGCCTAGGTTTTGAGTACCTGGGGGTTATATCAGACACCATATTTGCCTCGTGCCAGGCAGGTTGTCTGAGATTTGGGCACATGGCGGCCATGTTGGGACACCAACTTGGCCATCCAGGTCATTCAGGGGTGGCCTGTGGTATCCATGTTGTGCTCACCACACGGGCCTCAGGTCAGCCAGGTTGTGTTGAGCAGCTGATGGTTATTGTTGTGTCAACCAGGTTGTCTGGGGTTTGGGCACATGGCAGCCATTTTTGTTGCCGTGTTTGCCTCATCCCGACCCAGTTGTCCAGGGTTTGGGCACACAGTGGCCATTTTGGGATGCCATCTTGGTCTCGTGCCAACTTGCTCATTCAGGGGGTAGCCTGTGGCTTCCCTGGCATGGAGACCATATCTGCCTCAGGCCTATTAAGTCGTTTGTGGCTGAGGCACCTTGGGACCACGGGAGCCAGACCATGGCCAAGTGACTCCCTAATTGTCACTAATTGTGCCCTAATTGTCAAGACGCCTCCCTAATTGTGTGGGACAGTCCTGCAATGCGAACCTCAAGTCCCGGTCCTGGGCTACGTGACTCCAGGACAGCATTTGTTCCAGATTCATGGTGTCCGGCAGGGATCCGGGTTTTCCGTGCGCCACGGAAACCCGTGGGAAGCAGTGGGTTCCCCTGGCTGGCGGGCGGGCAGCGCTCCAGACTGCCAGGAGCTGCTTGGGGCTGGCAGGAGTGGGACGGGGGTGCACTACATGCATGTGTGCACCCACATACATGCATGTGCCTGGCAAGGCAGCCAGGGAGCGCGGAGAGCAGCTCCCTGCAGGTAAGTCTATGATGGGGAAGGTGGGCGGGGGGCAGATTTAAGCCCCCATGGTGGGGGAGAGAGTGGGGCAACAGCTGGGGGCACTGCCCAGCCAAGGTGGTCCATGGGGCCAGGTCAGGGAGCAGGACATTGCCACAGGTGGCTCGTCTGGGGGGGGCAGCTCCCTGCCATTGCGCGCACTCCTGGGGAAAGGCACATGGGGAAGGCACATGCCCCCACATTTGTGCATGGGGCAGATGCAGGCTGTCCACTGCCCACCTTGCTGCCCTCCCCGGGTAGCCCCACGCCAGCTGTGCCACCATGATGAGGTGCTTCCTCCCATCCAGCAGCAGCCTCCAGCTCAGCTGATGTGGATTTGGGCCCCCTGCTGCTACCAGGCGGGCAGGGGGCTCCCAGAGCAAGGGTAGCAGGGCAGGGAGCCCGCAGGAGGCAGCCCGCATCCACCCATCTCTGCTCGACTCTGTCTGCTCTGGCCATGCCACTGGCGCAAGGGGGCGGGAAGGAGATGCAGGCATGTGTCCTGCCTCTCCATTTTGAAAACATGATGGTGTTTTGTTGTTATCATTATTGCTCATGTTTTGTTATTATTATTTATTATTAATAATGATAATAACAGTAATAATGATGATGGTAGCACCAACACAACAACAGCCAAGATAATCATATTATGTTAATTGCTGGGATCTGTTCACTAGAAATAACATGTCCATCAAATACACTGCAGCTTTTGGACCAAATCCAGGCTCTTGATTGATTGACTGATTGATTGATTGATTGATTGGTGGATGATTGACTGATTGATGGCCAGAGCACCACAAGACTTCCTTTCTCCCAGCCGCTTGCTGACGACCAACAATATTTCTTTCGAATTTTTAGGAATGAGCCTTTTCCACAGATTCAGGTTCACTTCAGTGATGGGTAATTAATTAAGTAATTAATTGACAGGTGTTAGAATGGGCTTCGTTCATCTCCTGGCACCTGGGGAAGGCATCTGATTTTGGAAGTACAGTACATCCAGTGTCTGGCACTGGGATGACACAGGGGAGATCCTGATCCCCACCAGTCAGGAACCCCATTGCTCTGCAGGGATCTGGGCCAGGAAGATTCACTGGATTCCCAGAGAGCCATAATCCCTTCTCCTGCTTGCAGGGCACCCCCACCCCCCTAAATGGGATATGCACTACAGTGCCAACAACAGGGGCTCCCAACAAGAGGGAGCCCCAAGGGTACTGTCCCCCTGCTGGACGCCCCCGGCTCCTGCACGGCCTCCCCCGTGATGGCCACAGGGGTTCGTTAGCAGGGGCAGGAGGCAAATGTCTGGCCTGCTAATGAGCAAATGTGTCATTAGGGAGAAGGACCCAACCCCAAGAAGCCGGCTGGGCAGGGTGGGGATGTTCATGGGGTAGGAAGTCAGAGTTACCCCCCTGAGGGGTATATCAAAGGGTTCTGTTGCCCTATTGGGGGCAAGTCGGGGGCGGGGCGAGGAAAGTCAAATATGGAGGTTGTGATTGGTGCTGTCCCCTGTTGACCCTCAGGGGCTGCGGCCCACGGAAAGAGGGGCAGGGGCAAGGGCAGCTGGGGGGGAGAGGGGGAAGGTTGTTGAGGCAACAATGTAACCCCCCCCGGCCATATAAATTTGGGTGTGCTTTCTACCCCTCTGTGTAGGGGGGCGGTGTGTGTGGGATGTGGACACCTGGGTTGTGTGTGCATGTCTCAGACTCCTGGGTTCCCTGGGCACTGAATGGGCTCAGATGGGTTTGAAGCAACATACCGGGCTGGGGGGGGAGTTGGACACCTGGGTTTCCTGGGAGTTTAATGGGCTAGGGTGAGTTGGAGCCCAGATACCTGAGTTTTATGTGTCTGTGTGTATCCTGGACAGCTTGGTCCTGTGTTTGTGTGTGTGCATGTCCCAGCTGCCTGGGTCTTCTGGACCTTGGACGTGCACCCGGATGCCTGGGTTCCCACCCCCTGCGCAGCTCCAGGCCCCCACCAACAGCAGCAGGAACACCAGGGGCAGCAGCAGGAGGGGCAGGGGGTCCCGGCAGGAGGCTGCGTGGTTGCAGAGGCTCCCAGAGCAGCAGTGAACCAAGGTGTCTGCCGGCAGCAGCAGGCGGCCCAGGAGCTCCCAGGAGCGGCAAAGGTCGGTGCTGGCGTAGCCGCGGAGCAGGGTCACAGGGTGGTACCAGTCTGGGGCAGACAGAGGGGCAGGGTTAGTGAGAGGAGGAGTAGCAGCCTGGATGCCACTGGCAGGGGTGGTGGTTCTCACCTGTAGTCTGAACTTCTAGACACTGGTCCATGGCCCCCATACAGGTCATGGGCCTCAGCTGCTCATTGTTGCACTCGCCTGCTCCTGTCTCCTGGCAGCTATAGCAGAGCTTCCCATTGGGCTTCCCCCGGGGCACCTCTGTCGGGGTGCAGAGAGGGGTCAGGGAACCCAGACATCTAGGCTCCCATTCCCCCCCATCCCACCCCCTAACTCTCTTCCCAGACATCCCAGGGGTCCAGGCTCCCATCTCTCTGTGCTCTCACCCCCCTGTTCCTGAGCCCCAAAGAGCCCAGGTGTCTGGGCTCCCTTTATTCCCCTGCTCCAAGCCCCCCTGCTCCAACTGCTAGGCACCACTCCCCACCCAGAGAAACCAGGCATCCAGGTTCCCAGCCCCCTGTTCTCACCCCCCGCCCCAGCCCGGACTCTCCTCCCAGAGCACCCAGGCATCTGGGCTCTAACTGACACCCCTTACTTCTCTGCCAGGGAGCCCACGCATTTGGGATCTCAGTACCCCCAGCTGTAACCACCAGGCCCCACTCCCCTCCCAGAGAACCCAGGTGTCCAGGCTCCCACTCCCCCGGGCTCCCACCCCTGGGCCCCGCTCCATCCCCAGAGAACCCGGGCATCCAGGCGGCATTACTAACAAAGGAGCCGTTGTTGCATCCAACCCCGTGACAGCGCTGCACATGCACATACGCCAGGTCAGGCCCAACAGCCATGGCCAGCAGCTCCTCGGGGGGGGCCCTGCTCCCCGCACGCCTTGTACACAGCATCTCCCTCCTCCCCTGCCAGGACACAGGGGAGTGAGGCCGCAGGGAAAATGAGGCACAGGGCCAGGGTTCAGGAAGGGGCTCGGGCAACCTGGGACATGCTGCAGAACCCAGACGTCCGGGTGCCCAACCTGTCTGCACCCTCCCCCCCAAAAATGCAGGTGCTGGGGCACCCAGCCCCCCTGTTCTCGCCACCCCCACCCCGAGAACCCAGACGTCCAGGCTCTGCACCCAGTCACTGTGCTTTTAAGCCAGCACCAGGCCTTCTACTTGCCAGAGCAGGAGGGAACCCAGGCATCCAGGCTCCCCATGTCCCCAGTCCTGAGATGGAGCCCAGCATGTATCCAGGATCCCCCTCACAGAGTGCGAGGAGGGAACCCAAGCATCCAGGCCCCCTCCACCCCCTCCCTCTGCCAGGAGGGAACCCAGGCCTCCGGGCCTTACCGGGCAACACGTGCCGGGAGAGCTGCAGACACAGGTCCTGGGAGTTGGGGCAGGGCGAGGTCAGGGAGTTGGGGCCACAGGCGGTGGCAGATCCCACGCAGCTCTGACAGACAGGACGCCCAGGGGGAATTGGCATGCCTGTGGGGACATGGGGCTGGGATGCGGCAGGCTCTGGGGTGTAACGGGGAAAGGAGCTGGTGCTGGCTTGGGAAGCGGGCATGGGGCTGGGTATAATGGAGCTGCAGCTGGCTCTGGTGGGGCATAGGGCTGAGTATATTGGGGTTAGGAGCTGCAGCTGGTTGGTGGGGGGCAAAGCTGGGTATAACCCGGATATGAGCTGCAGCTGGCTGTGCAGCCTCAGGCAGTGTATATCAGGGGTAGGAGCTGTGGCTGGTTTGGGGTGGGGTTGGGGAGGGCTGGGTATAACTGGCTGGGGCAGCTGGCTCTGGGGAGGGGCTGTACATACTGGCGTAGCTCTTGTTGGTGCACAGATCTGTGGTGCAGCAGAAGCTGTTGCCACTCAGTCTGACTGCAACGTCCCGGGAAAGCAGACCACAGCTGTGCAGAGCCATGCCCCCCACGCACATTGCACTGGTCATGACTGGTGGGGGGGAGGAAGTCAGAGGTGAGTCTGGAACCCAGGAGTCCAGGGCCTGGGAGCTGGAGGTGACAGCCAGGTATCCCAGGAGGGGCTCTTACCTCATGGGGACAACCCAGCAGGCCCCTGCAGCCTCCCAGGGAATCCAGGCATCTGGGCCCCACCTCGCCCAACCCCTGGGGTCTCACCTGGGTTCACGTACAAGTCTTGCACCACGCAGAAGTTCTGGCCCAGTCGACACGTCTCCACCTCGTCCCGGCAGTTCCCTTGCCAGGGCAGGCATTTCGGGCACTGCAGGCCAGAGGCTGCGGGGGGATGCAGCTGATTTGGTGGGGGGCGCAGCTGGGTGTAATGGGGCCAGGAGCTGTGGCTGGCTCTGGGGGGTGTTGGGTTGGGTGTAACGGGGACAGGCTGCAGCTGGTTCTGGAAGGAGCAGGGCCCACTCACCAGTGACCAGCAGCCCCAGGAGTGTGACAGCATGCAGGGCGAGCATCGTGGATCCCGTGTCCTATCCACACTGGTCTGTGCTGGGCCTGACCCCACCTGCCTCCTATATGGACACTGGGAGTGGGGGGCTGAAGGCACAGGGTGACTCAGAGCTCAGGGAAGGGAACCCAGGCATCCGGGCTCCACCCCCACCTCTTGTTCTAGGACACTAGACAGCACGTCCCGGAGAACACAGGTGTCCAGTCTCCTTGTCTCTGCTGCCCTCCCCACAAGCCCCCAGTCCTGCAGAGAGAACCCAGGCATCCGGGCTCCCAGCCCCACTGCTCTCATCCACCATCCCAAGGGCACGGCCAGCAGGGTCAGTTGGGCCAGCTCTGGACTGATCCTGGAGGCCAGGGCAGACATGGGGACAGTCCCTGCCAGGGCAGGGAGACAACCCAGGTGTCCGGGTGGGGAGGTATCTGGTGCCAGCCTCTGGGTGTTCCCCAGTTTGCACCACGAACCTGTACTGGGCATCATGCCTGACAGATGTAAACCCTGTATGATCGCCTCACCCAGCCCTGGGAAGTGGCTGGCACTGGAGGGGGCATTGGGTTGAGTATAACAGGGACAGGAGCTGCAGCTGATTCTGAGCAGGGTGGGGTGTTGAGCTGGGTATAACAGTAGTTGCAGCTGGCTCTGGGGTGGAGCAGGGCTCAGTATAAGGCAGTAGGAGCTGGAGCTGGAGCTGGGGCTGGCTCTGAGCTGGGTGTAACAGGTACAGGCTGCAGCTGTCTCTGTCCGGCATCCGAATGGGTGTAATGAGGACAGGAGCTGCGGCTGGCTGTGGGTGGGGCACCATGATATTTCCCAGGGATGGGCACTGACGTTGCCCTGCCCCCACCCCCCATTAGGGCTCAGGTTCGTCAGCTGGGCAGTTAATGAGCAGGTTTCGCAAGGCAGACTCCCCCCCCCCAACACCTTGTTCAGGACCTGGGATATGTCTCGCCGGCAGCAGGGGGGTGAGGGGCGGTGGGGGTGTTGCAATCCGGGACAGCCCCAGGATGGGAGTTGTCCTGCACTTAACCTGCCCCAGCCCCTTCCTGGAGATGGGGAACCCAGGTGCCCGGGCTGCCAGCACCCCCCGAGCGCCACTCCCCTCCCAGAACTGGGGGAACCCAGGCGCCCGGGCTGCCCACACCTGCCTTCCCTGAACCCCCTTTTGGTGCCCCCGATAGGGATGGGCACCTGGCAGCCATCACTGTCATGCCAACCAGGGCATGCAGGTGGTGGGCACGGGGTTACGATGGCAACCTGTCTGTCCAGGGGGTGGGCACCTGGCGGCCATATTGGGATGCCCCATTGACCTCCTGCCAACCAGGTTGTCTGGGGGTTGGGTGCGGTGGCCTTTTTGGGCACCCTACTTACCTCATGGCATCCAGGTTGTCCAGAGTTTGAGCACACGACTGCATTTTGGGACACCATTTTGGGGGTCATGCCAATGAGGTTGTCTGTGGTTTGGGCACACGGTGGCCACTTTGGGACACTCTCTTGGCCTCACACCAACCAGGTCATTGATGCGGGGGGCCTGTGACAGCCATATTGTAGTTACCATACTGTGGGTTGGTACAGCCATAAGATGGGCACTATATTCACCTCATGCCAGCCAGGTTGTCCAGGGTTTGAGCGCATGGCGGCCATTTTGGGATACCATCTTGTCCTCATGCCAACCAGTTTGTTCAGGGTGGTGGTCGTATCATTGTCACAATGTACGCCATTTCGACATCAAGCCTACTAGGTGGTTTGTAGCCAGGCCTGCGGCAGCCATCTCTAGATGTCACCTTGGCGCCATGGTCACGTGGCAGCCACGTTGATTACTGCTAATAATGAAATGTAATGATCACAACAGTCTGCTGATTATGAATGGTGCTTGCATTGCTTTTATTAGTATTGTCCTTGTCATTATTATTATTATTATTATAGTTCTTATTGTGGTGGTTTTATCATCATTATTGTTCTTGTTTTCTTGTTATTATTTATGCTAATAACAACAATAGTGGTGATAGCAACAATAGCAGTGGCAGTAATTATATTTTAATTGCCAATATCTGTCCACTAGAAATAACCCATCCATCAAGTACATTGTGACTTTTGAAACAAATGTCAGGCTCTTGATTCATTGACTGATGGATTGACGATTGATTGATTGACTGACAGCCTGACACATTTATTCAGTGCACCACAAGACTCGCTTTGTCCCAGCCGCCTACTGAGGACCAACAATATTTCTTTTCAATTGTTAGGAATGGTTGTTTCCCGCAGAGCCCAGATTGCTCCATGTATGACAGGTAATTAATTGACCTATTGTAGACATGATGGGCTTTGTCCAGAGCTTGGTACAGGGGGAAAGCACTGGCTCTCAGAGGTATGTCCAGTGCCGTGCACCAGGTTTGGGGTGGAAGACCCTGATCCTGATCCCAACCCATTAGGTGACCCATTGCTCGGGCAGGAATCTGGGCCTAGAGATCCGCCATATTCCCAGAGATCCCACCAGCCATAATCCCCTCTGCTGATTGCAAGGGGGCTCCCAAAGGGGATGTGCACTACAGTGCCAACAACAGGGGCTATTAGCAAAAGAGGGACTCCCATGGGCAGGAGGAGGTCCTCCAAAGGCTGGACACCTGCTGCTACTGCACTCCCTCCCCCATGATGGCCACAGGGGTTCATTAGCGGGGGGGGGTGGACGTCCAGCGTGCTAATGAGGAAATAGGTCATTAGGGGGAAGGATCTGGCCCCCAGGAAACTGGCATGGCAGGATGAGGGTGTTTATGGGGCAGGGAGTCAGAGTTGCCCCTACCAGGGAGTATTTCACAGGCTCTGTTGCTCGGGTGGGGCAAGATGGAGGGGAGGGGTGTGTGTGTTTTGGACACCTGGGTTCCCTGCAAATTGAATGGGCTCCGGTGACTTTTAGCTCAGATACCTGGGTTCTGTGAGTGTGCCCTGGACACCTGGGTCCCCCTTGGTGTACTTGCCCCCAGCTCAGCTCCGGGCCCGCCCTCCCTCCCCCCGGCAGCAGCAGCAGTGCCAAGGGCAGGAGCTGGGGGAGGCAAAGAGTCATGGCAGGGCGCTCAGTGGTTGCAGAGGCTCCTGGAGCAGCAGTAGCCCCGGGGCAGCCAGGAGCAAGAGAGGTCAGGGCTGGCACAGCCACGGCGCAAGGCCACAGGGTTGTTCCAGTCTGGGGGGGCAGAGAGCGGGGCAGCGCGGTGGTCTGAGTTCCTTGCAGGACAGGGTGATCTGGGGGGTGGGAGCCTGGCCCCCTGGGTTCCCCGTGGGCGTGGGGTGGGTGGTTCTCACCTGTGCTCTGGGCTTGCGCACACTGGTCCACGGTCCCCGTACCGCCCGTGCTCTGCAGCTCCTGGCGCTCGCACTCACCGGCTCCTGTAGCAGAGCTTCCTTTTGGGCTTCCCCCGGGGCACCTGTGTGTGGGGAGTGCGGGGGCAGTCCGGGCTCCCAGCCCTTCTGCTCTCGCCCCCCAGCCCCGGCCCTGAGAGACCCCAGGCACCTGGGCTCCAAGGCCCCCAGCTCCAG